AACCTTGTGCTCAAGGATAGTTAGGAATTGTAATTGTAACTGTATTGTAATTGTGTTCAGCTACAAGTAACACTGACACAAAGACCAGTGTCCTAAATTACTTGGATGGCCATTTAGGGTTAATATGACTTCCAGCTTTGCCTCTTTTCCATTTCAAGATTCACCTCATGATCACAAAGTAGCTGCTGTAGTTCAGCCATGACTTCCATATTCCAGGCAAGAAGACAGAGGAGCCACCTGTCAGCCACCTTTTTCTTTTTTTTTTACATCTTTATTGGAGTATAATTGCTTTACAATGGTGTGTTAGTTTCTGCTTTATAACATAGTGAATCAGCTCTACATGTACATATATCCCCATATCCCCTCCCTCTTGCGTCTCCCTCCCACCCTCCCTATCCCACCCCCCTAGGTGGTCACAGAGCACGGAGCTGATCTCCCTGTGCTATGCGGCTGCTTCCCACTTGCTGTCTATTTTAAGGTTGGTAGTGTATATAAGTCCACGCCACTCTCTCACTTCGTCCCAGCTTGCCCTTCCCCCTCCCCGTGTCCTCAAGTCCGTTCTCTACGTCTGCGTCTTTATTCCCGTCCTGCCCCTAGGTTCTCCTCCATAACCAATGTTTTTTCTTAGATTCCGTGTATACGTGTCAGCACACGGTATTTGTTTTTCTCTTTCTGACTTACTTCACTCTGTATGACAGACTCACCTTTTTAAGTAGCTTTTAAGTTCCAAAAGCCCCACCCAATAACTTCTGATTACATACAGTTGACCAGAATTTAGTCGCTTGGCTACCCAAATATGTCAGGGAGGATAGGGAATGTAATTTTCCACTGCTGACTCATTATCCCCTCCAAAAAAAAAAAAAAAAAGCCATTCTGTTTTCAAGAAGAAGGGGAAAATAGTACTAGTAAGCACCCAGCAGTTTCTGCCACCAGTGCCTTTTATGACCTCCCTTAGCCCTGTCTTTTGCTGCCATCCACTGTTCTAAGCACTTTGTACTGTAGCTCCACCAGAGCCGTGGTGCTCCCTGAGAACTCCCTTCATTGTCCTTCCCCATCCTTTGCTCATAGTTTGAAAGGCTTTATCTCCCATCCCAACTATCTCTGCCTCTTACCTCTAAGGCGTTGCTCAGATCACATTTCCTTTTTTTTTTTTTTAACATCTTTATTGGAGTATAATTGCTTTACAGTGGTGTGTTAGTTTCTGCTTTATAACAAAGTGAATCAGTTATACATATACATATATCCCCATATCTCTTCCCTGTTGCGTCTCCCTCCCTCCCACCCTCCCTATCCCACCCCTCTAGGTGGTCACAGAGCACCGAGCTGATCTCCCTGTGCTATGCAACTGCTTCCCACTAGCTATCTATTTTACATTTGGTAGTGTATATATGTCCATACTACTCTCTCACTTTGTCACAGCCTACCCTTCCCCCTCCCCATATCCTTAAGTCCATTCTCTAGTAGGTCTGTGTCTATTCCCGTCTTACACCTAGGTTCTTCATGACCTTTTTTTTTTTTTCTTCTTAGATTCCATATATATGTGTTAGCATACGGTATTTGTTTTTCTCTTTCTGACTTACTTCACTCTGTATGACAGACTCTAGGTCCATCACCTCACTACAAATAACTCAATTTCGTTTCTTTTTATAGCTGAGGAATATTCCATTGTATATATGAGCCACATCTTCTTTATCCATTCATCTGTCGACGGACACTTAGGTTGCTTCCACGTCCTGGCTATTGTAAATAGAGCTGCAATGAACATTTTGGTACATGACTCTTTTTGACCTCAGTCACAGTTATGATCTGCCCCTCCCCCCTTCTTTTATCTCATCTCTCTATCATAGCCCTTGTTAGCTTTCAGCCAGTGTATTAAAGTTTCACAGTTAATTTTCAAATCCTCTGTGATTCCTTCATCACCCTCACTTGCCTAGCAGAATAATTGGATGTATTAAATATTCAGTTCATGTTTATTGGACTTAACATCACATTGCAGACCTAATGCCCGCAAGATAATAGGAGATAGTCTTTTGTGCAACCGTTTTCAAAGGGTGTTCTTTTTGTAAGAGAAAAAAAATTGCTTACATCAGCATTGTGAGTATCCTATTCCATTTAATACCTGTTGGCTAATATATAGGTCGTTGGTTACTTCAGTGAATAGTCTGTTGGGTAGACGTGCAAACAGCAGTTTGAAAATACTGGCTCCCTAAACATGTAAGAAACATTAACAGCCTGGGTCTCTTGGAATGAGGGCATTTGATGTGCCCCAGATTGGGGCACTCCACTGAGAACAAACAATGAGAAAGGGAGGGTGACAATAAAAACCTTTGTTCCTGAAAAGCACCTGAAAGTACTATAAATGGATGATCTTCAAGCTGGTCAGTGGGTCAAAAGGCAACACAGCCTCAGCACCTCATATTTGTTTCATAAATAAACTTTTTCATGATTTTTAGTGGTACTTTCTAAACTTTTTTTTCATATTTTTGAGATGTTTTCAAATTCCAGTTATTTGGGGAGGTTATTACCTAGACTTGCATTTAATTATTTTGAGGTGTTTACTTTTTCTTTTTTAAGAATTTATTTTATTCAAGTGTAATTGATATACTACTTTTTCTTTTTAAATATGGCACTTTGGATGCCTCTGTGATAACTTGATTCATTCAGGTTGTATTCATATATAATTGTTAAAATTATGGAACATCTTTTTTTAAGATTAAAGAAATTTCTTTCTAACTTGCATTTCTTGGTGATTGGGCCTGGAAATTACATAAAAGGTGGCTTATTTCTGGGACTTGTTTTTAAAACTGCATATAAACTATCTACCAGGTATATAATTGACTGAAGCATAATACTGGAAGACCTTCCTAGGTAGTTCATTTCTTCTCACAGATCTGAACAGAATTGTTTCCTGTTGAATGTCATGCTGTATCTAAAATCAGATTTTTATGAATTTCCCCATTGCATTTCTCTACCATTTACACTCTGCTCACCCTTTCTCTCTGCAAACTTTTGCGTTAAATACCTACCGAGCAGCAGTAAGGATTAATCATGGTACAGGGTCCAGTTGGGGTGACAAATATACAGGCAGGAAAGGTCTGAAAGTAAGACTGGCAAATAAAGCCTGTGGAGTGTCAGGCGAGGGAAGGGTTGTTGAGAGTTGAATGAGGAAATGTAGAAAACACCAAAACTAACATGCACATCAGCTTCACAGGAGTGTTAGAGTTTTGAAGGGAATGTTTGAGAATTGTCCGAAAATGGGAGCGTCTCCCAGAATGGAGAAAAGCATGGGCTAATGTGAGAGGGACTGGAGAACACAGGGTCACTGTTGACCCCACTCCACCTGGTCCTCAAGACCCGTCTGCTCTTCACTCAGGGGTTACTGAAGCCCATCCCTTCCTGTCCCAAGAACAAATCATGGCTTCTGCATGTCAGTTAGACTCCAGTCTATCCCACGTATCATCACCATGCTCATGTTCCCAGAGTTTTTATTTTATCAGGTAATCCTCCTGATGATGATGATGATGATGAAGTTTTCATTTATAGATAAAGTATATGATCCTCAACCTGAAATTTAGGGAACATCATTGTCTGGTACCACTCACCTATGATTGCCCACCTCTTACTCTCCCCCCAGCATTTGCCCATCTCTTCAGCTTGACAGGCCTCCTCAGTGTCCTCTAAATAAATGATGGCCTGTTTGGCTCTACAGTTCTCCATGCCTTGGGTGGTCCGCTCTCTTCTCTGTCTCCCCTGGTTTCAAGATCCAGCTCAAGATCTCTCCTTCGAGGTTTTCTGTGCAACTCTATATGGATATGCTTGTGTGATGATTTCTTCCCAAATTTCATATGTGCCACCAATTTTGCTCATACATAAATATTGCCTTGAATTTAAAACATGATTGTTTTGTCTCTTTGTCTAGATTGTAAGCTCTGTGAGACCAATGACCACACTATACAATTTAGTATCTGGTGTAGCACCATACGTATATTTGGTACAGAGCAATTTCTCAGTCTGGCACCATCACGTTTTGGGCTGGATAATTTGTTTCTGTCAGGGGTTATCTGAGAATTGTAGGATGTTTAGTAGCATCCCAGTATTCTACCCACTAGATGCCAGTAGCACCCTCTTCCTAGTGTGACAATAAAAAATGTCTCCATTTGTGCTAAATGCCCCATAGGCAGCAAAAATACCCCCTGCTGAGAATCGCTGTATAAACAGAATAAATTCTAACCAGTATCTTGGTAGGAATTGAAGACTGTGAAAAGATTTGAGTGATGATGATTTATAGCATTTTGGGGTCTTGAAGGAAGACAAACTCAGTTGATGGAAGACTGGAAATGTAAAATAGAACTTTCTATTTTCTGTGATAGGCTGTAGAAAGTGTATTATAGATTGATGAGCAATTACGATGCAACTTAAGGTTAAGAATGGGCAAAATGACAGAAGTATTCTTAAGCTGAGGTATCACAAATATTTAGTTGTAGTTTTTAATTCATTTTGAACCATTTTATTCTTGGAAATACCATTTCCAATAAAATATTATTTAATTGGAAATTTATTTGGAGTTCATACTTAACCAGTATCTTTGGATTAAGAACTATGTTTTGAAGCATATTTGAGAAAATGATTTTGAAAGTATGGGTGCAGGTTATTATAAAGGGATAACTATTGACAAATAACAGTTGTGTTTATGCATAGTTTTCCAATGTTTCTTCTATTTGGCTATTTGAGTATTGTCCTCAAGTTTAGCACAATTTTCAGCCCCAAGCAATACACCACACACACACACACACACACACACACACACACAACACATGTGTGTGAGTCTGTAGTCTAGACAATGTTTACTGCTCCAGGACACAATGATCTTGTATATTTCTATTACTCTATTGTAAGTTCTTAGTTTTTTTCTTTTATTATCAAACTAGTACATGATGTAGATTCTACTTGGTTGACATGCTCCTGACCTAGAAATAATGCATGCTATCCTTTTTTCACAGCTGTGTGCCAGCCACAGTGCAAACACGGTGAATGCATCGGACCAAACAAGTGCAAGTGTCATCCTGGATATGCCGGCAAAACCTGCAATCAAGGTAGGGAAACTGTGTGACACAAGTAAACAGTCATAAGCCCTCTCTACTCCTGCCTGATATAAAAATTTAAGTTCTCATGCAAACCACTTTTCTATAACTATTGTCACCAAATATGAGATACCATTTTGCTGAAAGACAAAAATATAATAAGGGTAAATCTTTTAAAATCTGTTTAATCGTAGTGCAGTTAAAATAATTTTACACTCTTATTCACTATTAATAATGAAAATGGATTTTGAAAAAGAGAATTGCAGCATCAGTAACCTTAGAAGCCTTACATTCTGCTTCTCCTTGTTCTTCCACTAACTAGTTGGGAAGCTTTGGCAAATTGATAGCCTCCTTGGATCTCTGTTAGATGAAAACACTTTAATACTCAGAGTCAGGTAGGAGTTTTGGCTTGAAATTTTGAGGTCCCTTCCAACTCTGAGCTCTTTGATCTTTGTGATTAAATTCCCGTCAACTGTTGACCAGTTTGTAATGTTCCTCTGAGAAGGATTTTGATTAACTTAGCAAGTTATTTTTAATTAGCGTCAGATGCTTATAAAAGCAAATCATTATTTAGCCCTCACAGTGCTTGGGTATTTTACATATATTATCTATTTTTATCACTACAGTAGCATTAGGAGGTAGAGTGTTATTTATTATAATAAGCTATAAAAAATATTTCATTTGAAGAGACATCAGGGATATTCAGTGTCTTGTCCAAGTTCACAAAAGTAGTTGGTAAAAGATCTGCTATGTCAACTTAGAGCAATTGTCTATATAACTCCTGTTCTTTCTACCAGTGTAGTTTTGGATGAAGAAAACGTCACTGGAAATGTGATCCTCTGACGCATGCTGCATTACAAGGCTGACAAGACTTGTCTTTTTAATTAATTTCAACCGAAAACGTTCTACCATTAGGTGTTAAAAAGAAAAATACAGAAATAAAGAAAAGATAGGGTTAGATTTCACTAGAAAGATGCAAGGATAAAAGAGTAAAATTTTTCACTTATTCCTTAAAGTAATATTCCCTAGCATTTAAAAATTTTATTTATTTATTTATTTATTTGGCTGTGTTGGGTCTTCGTTGCTGTGTGTGGCTTTCTCTAGTTGCAGCGAGTGTGGGCTACTCTTTGTTGCGGTGCGCGGGCTTCTCATTGCAGTGGCTTCTCTTGTTGCAGAGCACGGGTCCTACGGCACGTGCGCTTCAGTAGTTGTGGCTCATGGGTTTAGTTGCTCCGCGGCATGTGGGAGCTTCCCGGACCAGGGATCGAACCTGTGTCCTCTGCATTGGCAGGCGGATTCTTAACTACTGCACCACCAGGGAAGTCCTTTTCCTAGCATTTTAAATGTCAAATGAAAGAGTTATGTAGGGTCTAACTGTCCCATAGATACATAGTTGACCTCACCTGATACAGAAATAATCTTGTTGAAATACTCTTATTCTTCAGTATCTGATACTCCTTTAAGTGTGTCATGTAAACTCATGATTTATAGACATAGTTTTCACAAGAATTAGGAACACTGAAATTTGAAAGTATATGTAATTGTTCCTGAACTACCAGATGAAATCCATGTTAGTAAAATGTGACGTGTCCAATGGTAGGACAAGCTGTTTATTCTAAAGTGTGTTCTTTAGTATCAGCTACTTGACTGACAGCTGATATTTTCCAAAGTTTCTTTTCTATCTTATAATATATTTTTTTTAACTTGGAATTTACCTAACATACGTGGGTAGTATTTTTGAAATAAGTGGGGTTCTTATTATCTCAGTTCACTCTTTTAAAAACCCATTTGATTTTTCCTCTCCAGTATAAGTTCTCAAGTAGCAGCATGTTCAGTTCTGATTATTGAGTTGTCAGTGTTCATCTGAGAGTGCCAGCATGCTTCTTTTTTTTAAGTGCTGAACGTAAACCATCAAAGGTTCCCTTAATATGTCAACACCATAAAACTTTGTTGTCCTGATGCCAGGAATGTATACATAGAAAACTTATTAAATGAAGCCACTGTTGAGATTGCAGAGAAATTCATTTAAATTTATTTGCAGGAACTACATCAACTTTAATGTGCTTCAGACACTAAAACTATCATTGGAACATGGATCCATCTCTGGGTATCTCTTATTTTCAGAAAACCAGTTTACCATGTACTTTACCCTGCAATACATACCCATTTCTCTTAAGAAAAATCGAAATATACTGAGCTGAAATCTTGCCTCCCAAAAGTAAATATAGTTGGGGGAAGAGGATTTTATTAGTAGCAAAATGGGATTTGACACCTGTAAAAATAGTGCTGCCACTGAAGATGTAATTTCAGGTTCAGTCTTGAATATAAAATTCCAGTCCATAGTAAACCTATGTGTTTTAATCATCTCTTTCTTTTCCTTCCTTACCATAAAAGCAATTGTGGGAAGCTCTTGATGGGAAGGTTTATGTTCCTTGAGAGCAGGAACCCCTTGTGGGGTCTCTCTGACTTCTAGGTTCCTGAAAACTTTTATCAAAATGATTTGCAGATGATAAGTGCACATTAAATATTTGCTTAGTGACTGTTTCATATAATGGCTTTTGGTCCTGAACACCATAGGAATGGGAAAGAGGTCCATGGAGTTGTCTGGTATAGCTCCTTAGTCTCTGAATCCGTGGACTATCTGTCAGAGTGAGAGAGGCAGCCAGGAGTGAGCCAGGTAGGTGGGAGGGTTGTCCAGAGACCCCCAGAAACGTTATTAGAGCAAATTGTCTGTATCTGCTACATAACAAATTAACTTAGTTTTTTATCCAGACCATACATTTTAATAAAATGGAAAACATGCCTCAGAGATATGGGAAATCAAATAGGTTTCTTTTTTCTTTTCTTTTTTTTTTTTTAAGCACAGAGGTTTTTTTGGGGGGTGGTTGTTTGTTTGTTTTGGTTTTTTTTTTTTTGGCCGGGCCACGAGGCATGTGGGATCTTAGTTCCCCGACTAGGGATCAAACCTGTGCCCCCTGCAGTGGAAGCGTGGAGTCTTAACCAATGGACAGTCAGGGAAGTCCCTAGTTTCTTTTTTCTTGAGGAGAGAAATGTTAAGAAGAGGTATACTTGAAATAGTTAATTTCCACAGAACTGGAGATTAACATTTGATTAAAAGTAGGTTTTGGTATAAGGCAAAAATTATATCCACTAAAAATTGTGTTGCGAGCTGTGTGCTTTAGGAACTCACCCCCTGGGAACTTGCTTGGCTGAGTGAACAGCTTGAGTAGATGAGTGCTTTCAGAGCTACCTGGGGAGCAGCAGGGATAGCAGGGCAGGCCCACTGTGGAACTGGCTTAAGTTAGCAGACTTGTTACAAGATTAGTGTGAATCTGCTGGTGGTGACTTTTGCTTGCCTCTGAGTTATTCTCTGGATTTGCCATAGCCAGATCACGTATCAAATCATGGCCTTGGACTGACCATATTCTGTAAGGCACAAGGTGCCTTTCATGGTAGATGAAATTCTAACCTGAACTCTGGTAAGATTTGCTTTTTCCCACCTTACTTTCTCTGGTAATTTTTTTTTTAAATAAATTTATTTTTATTTTTGGCTACTTTGGGCCTTCGTTGCTGTACGCGGGCTTTCTCTGGTTGCGGCGAGCGGGGGCTACTCTTCATTGCGGTGCGCAGGCTTCTCATTTCAGTGGCTTCTCTTATTGCGGAGCATGGGCTCTGGGGGCATGGGCTTCAGTAGTTGTGGCTCGCGAGCTCTAGAGCACAGGCTCAGTAGTTGTGGTGCACAGGCTTAGTTGCTCCGCGGCATGTGGGATCTTCCCAGGCCAGGGCTCGAACCCATGTCCTCTGCACTGGCAGGCAGATTCTTAACCACTGCGCCACCAGGGAAGCCCTCTGGTAATTTTAATTCATTCAGATTTCCCCCCTCCTTGAGTCTCTGTACCCATACAAATCTCCTAAGCCAAAAAGGGATACTATTATAGATAATAATCTTTTTCGTAACTTTCCCATTAGAGAATAATTTGGGGCATGTAATATACCATATCATTGCATCTTTTCAGGAATGAAAGATATTCTTTTGAATTTACAGCATGCTTTATAATAAGTTCAGAAGAAACAATTTATAAATATCAATTATTAATGTTTTGACATGGTTTATGTTTCACATGTTGAATTCCTTATCCCAAGAAGAGAATCGGTATCGTATAGCACAGAACCAGACAGTAAACTTTGGTGAGCTAGTTAAGCCTCAGTTGATTGCTTTCCTTAGCACAATAGACGAAGTGCTTTAACCCTAATATTAAGGGAGTTTCTTAAGGCCTTAGTTTTTGAACGATATGTGGTTTCAACCCCAGGAACCAATGTTCATTTAATTTGGAAGTTTAACTGGCTGTTAATAATACGAAGTCTTGAAACAGGATGAGATTGCCTTTTTGACTCTACTTTGGGTCTCACCCATCTTATAATATTTTGGTTAGGTAATAATGGCCACAATTACCATTTTTTGCAGAAAGCATCTTATGTATATTCTTCTCTTTTTTTCCAGCCCCAGATATCTCAGTCCTATCCGTCTTTGCATGGGGTGTCTTATGTGTATTCTAATTAAATGTGACCTAAATGTGACATAAGTTCTTACACTTGATTTAAAATATCCATGATCTATTGTGTTATTTATTTAAATGAGATCTTTATGCAAAACATAAATTTATGCATAATTCTGGAGTGTTTTAAACTATTGGACAACATAATAATATAGGAAAAGATTTTAAATTGGTCCTATAAGACCTAGGTGTACCTAAACAGAGCAGGTTGATAATAATAAGTTTTTATATAATCTGTTTTTTTGAGTTTTCTGTCTGTGTTGATGACTAAAATCATCTTTTGAAAAAGGACCATCTCCTTTTTGGTGCTTAAAAAAATGGATATGAGGATGTACGTGGATGTTAACTTATAATGTTTGTGTGTTCTTGGGACACAAAATAGCAGTGATCAATTTTAAGGAACATAGAAATTAAAATTAAAAAAGAGAAACCAGAAGAACTAGAAACTAATTTTTGTAAAGTATCTGAAGCATTCTTTTTGAACTCTACCAACTTTATGTAATTGTTTAATATACACTTATAAAGATTTTTTGGGCTAAAAATGACATCAGTTCAAAGTTGACTCTTATTACCTTCTTCCTGGTGTGAAGACGAACACTTGTACCCGACTCCTCTTGACCAAGGCAGTGAACAGCCTCTTTCACAACCCCTGGATCATCAAGCCACAAGTTTACCTTCAAGGGGTGAGCCTGCATTATCTCAGGTGGTCTGCTCCTCCCACCTGCACAGCTTCCTGCAGTGTTGTCACTTCTTGCCAATGTTCTAAAGACTCACCCCTGGAGTACCTAGTCCTCCACATTCCTG